GGCTCACAATTATCGGTAATGAGATCTAGTGACCTCTTCTGGCCTGCAGGGACACATGCAGACATGCAGACGGAATACTGTATACATAATAGATAAATATTAAAAAAAAAAAAAAAAAAAAGACCTGGCTGAGCCAGGCAGTGCTGGTGGCACACACACCTTTAACCACAAACACTCAGAAGGCAGAGGCAGGCGGATCTCTGTGAGTTTGAGGCCAGCCTTGTCTACAGAGTGAATTCCAGGACAGCCAGGGCTATATACAGAAAAAAACCTGTCTTGAACCTCACCCCCACCCCCCAAAGGGACAGACCTGGCTGCTGTCAACAAGGGTATCTTCTCTACTCTGAAATACAAGCCGGTAGGAGGCCAAGGTCAAGTCTGAGGACAGGTATACAACAGGGGGCCAAACAAGTAGCTCTTTCAGAAGTTTTGGTTTTAGGTGTTTGTTTCTTCATCATTAAAAATAAGAGGAACAAGGCAGGCTTGAGAGCACATGCCTTTAACCCCAGGACCTAGAACGCAAAGGCAGGCAATCTTGGTGAGTTTCAGGCTACACTGGTCTACATAGCAAGTTCTAGGCCAGTCAAGAACACAAAATCTCAAAAGCAAACAGTAAATAAAGAAACAGCTGATGGGGTAGAGAGTCAGTTCTCTTCAAGAGTATGGATCCTGGAAGGTGGGCGTGCTCCAGGGGATGGTGGACCCTATAACTATGTGCGATATGGGCAGCACTACTGGACTAGTAAGTTATTCAAAAAAGAAAAGGGTACATGAAGTTGGGAGGGAAATGTGGTGGGGAGGTTTTGGGAGAATTCAGGAGATGGTTATGATCAAAATACATTGTATACATGTATGGAATTCTCAAAAATAATTTTTAAGATGATGGGCCAGAAAGACGGCTCAGTGGGTAAGGTGGCATACTGCCAAACTTGTTCAATCCCCAGAACCACATGGTAGAGGGAGAGAACAGACTCTAAAAGCTGCCCTCTGGTCCTATACATTCAAAATGTGGACACATGGACGGGCAAACACACATCCACAAATTGAATAAATATAATAAATGTTAAAAAAAATAAGGTCTGGGAAAATGTCACACAAGTATAAGGACTTGAGCTCAAATCCCAACAACCCAATGAAGGTAATTATGGTAGCTCAAGTTTGCAATCTCAGTGCTCCTCCTTTACCTAGATGGAAGGCAGAGGCGGGAATACTTGGAAGGTTGGAGGCCAGAGAGTACATGCAGTGTCAAAAAACAGAGACCCTGTTCCAAAGAAGATGAAAGCCAAAATTGACACTTGAAGTCATATTCTAACTTCCACAAGAACAACCACAGCACAGCTGTGCCTGCACTCTCATGCACACACACCAAGAAAAAAGATAATGAAGCCAATGTTTAAAAACCTGGAGATTCACAGGGTGGTGGGTGGTGGTGGTGGTGGTGGTGGTGGTGCATGCCTTTAACACTAGGGAGGCAGAGGCAGGGGGATCTCTGTGAGTTCAAGACCAGCCCGGTCTACAAGAGCTAGTTCCAGCCTCCAAAGCCACAGAGAAACCCTGTCTCGGAGGAGGAGGGGAGACACCGACCTGGAGATTCCACATACAAATCTAGACTTTGCCATTGTTTCAAAGAAAATGACATTAATATTCTTCAAAAAGGCTTCACTCCACTACCTAAACTAAACTAGGTTATCTCGGTCTCTATAAAATAGTCCCATTTCATTATGTAGTATCCTGCTAAAATTGTTTATTTATTCTACCTGTTTGACAGTACTGGGGATTGAACATAGGAGCACATGTATGCTAAGCAAGAGCTCTATTGTCGAGGTAGACTTCCAACCTTCTTTTTACTTTTTATTTTGAGATGAGGGTCTCACTAAATTGTTCAGGCTGGTCTTGGAACATGAGGCAACCCTTCTGCCTCAGCCTCTGAAGTAAGTGAGATTGTAACTATGTGTCACTCTGTTCATTCATGTTTTTGTCTTTGCAGTACTGAATTCTGAACCCAGGGCTTTACATATTCCAGGCAAGCACCCTCCAGAGCTATATTCCCAGCCCACTGACCATTTATTTTACTCAAATGAAACAAAAACTTAAAGCTATTAGAGAGAAGAGACCCTGCTGGTCTTAAATTCATAGCTCCAAAGAGGACCTCCTTGAGGCAGGCATGAGATCTCTAGGTTGTAAATTACACCCAATTATACAAAAGTAAATACATTCATATAATCTCTCTTCCTCATCCTAGAAGCACATGGGCTGGTCACCCTGACCTAATCCAATCTTGAAAAGTATACCTAATCATTTAGTACCCCATCCCAGGTATTCATACAGGCATTCCTCAGTGACACTCAGTGAACATTCTCACTGTCCCAGGTGCTGTTCTAGGTGCAAAGAACTGTGGGAAGAACAGGAAAGGTCCTTTTCCTGGTCCCAGTAACATGCTGGGGAGAAGAGATGGGTTTCAAGGGACACTTCTGTCTCTAGACTGATGGCCTTTCGTCTGTCCAACTGGTTCTTCTTCTCTTTTAAGGGTCAATGACTGTCTCCTTGGTGAGATCTTCCTGGTAAAGGAGCCTTCACCCAGCTTCCTCACCCTGACTTTCACTTATTGCCCTATGCAAGCTATTTTATACTCAGCACTGTAGCTCTCACCTCAACCCTATGTGGCCATAAAACACCACCTTTGCTATCTTCCAAAGCTCCTTACAACTGAGATTCCAAAGTCAGCACTTGAATTATTGCGCTTGAAGCAAGGAAAACATTTCCCAAACTTGGCATAGAGGCCTATGAAACTACTGACCCATTGCTGCAGTTTCTAGAGGACACATTTTATTTATACATACATTTAACAATCTATGAAGATAGTTAGATCAACCACTATGTAATTTAACATACTGAAAATTAAGACAAAAGGTATCATAAAATAAATGTATGTTAAAAAAAAAAAAACATGAATTTCTTCTTGTGTCCCTGATATAAACTGTTCTATACCTAATTTTTACTGACTGTGGAACACTTGGTAAGGTAATGATCAGTCCTGGGCTTCAGTCTCAGCACCCAGGAGGAGAGATGACCAGTGTAATTGTCATCTTTACCTGAAAAGGCTGTTAGAAGAATTGAGAATGTGTGTGAGTGCTTAACACTGTGTCTTGCACCAGAGTGCTCAAAACACATTAGCTACCCTTGTGTTCCAAGAACTAGCCCCTCCCAATTTGTTAACCCATTCTTGGTTTAGCAATACACAGTGGAAGAATCTTTGGTTAAAAGTGGAACTTTGAAGCCCGGTGTTGGTGGCGCACGCCTTTAATCCCAACACTCGGGAGGCAGAGACAGGTGGATCTCTGCGAGTTGGAGACCAGCCTGGCCTACAAGAGCTAGTTCCAGGACAGCCTCCTTCGATTACAGGGTCTTGTCACATTGCCTGGATGATCAAAATAAAAAAGCAAACCAAGGGGGAGGGGTGGTGAGATATGAAACAAAACAGGAAAGGGGCAAACACCTTTTTTCAAACAACTGTTGCCACTTCTTTCTTCCTTCAGAAGAGAACCTTCTACCTGCTTCTACCTGCTTCTTCATCTGCAAAATGACGATATAGCCATCATATTTGCCTGCAAGGTTGTAGATTCTAGATGTAATAATACTCCCATAAACTGAGTCATTGCTTAGGAGTTCTGGACTCACTAAAGTAAGACAACACTCCTATAAAAAAAAATGAGAGTGAAACCTATTTCACGGGATGGTTCAAGGGGAAAAATAAAGTAACGCAAAGTATTCGGGGCTGGGAATATCAAAAGAGCCCAACTACTGAGAATTACTAAATTACTAGCCTATTCATTGGATTTCAAATCCTCAAAGGTGGAGTGGAAACAAACTGATATTGGCTCAGGAACAGAGAGAACTGGGCTTTGTTAACCAGCATGATGACCGCGGGAGTCTGGGACCCTCTCCAAACCTTCGTTCCCGTGGCTGAAAAGTGAAGAGAATTGCAAGAGAGGATCCCTGGGCTCCTACCAGTTCGTCCACTTCGCTGTAAAGGCTGCCGAAACAAAGGCCACCCGCTCCCTAAGTCTGTACCCGAGGGGCCAAAACTCAAAATTCTTGCTGTTCAACTCCCTTTGCGGTGCGACAGCAGGAGCGCCCGGGTCTCCAGCCGAGGCCGCCGCACTCTGCCCGCTCCATCAGTAACTTGCTTTTGCAGCTGTTGCCCAAAGTTTTTCCGGAGCGCCTGGAGGAGACCCGGCTGTCAGTCAATCGCGAAAAGAGCAGGGGCGTGGGGAGCTAAGCCACGGGAACCAGTCCGGGAAATCCTGAAGCCGCTCCAGTGGCCAGGCAGGGAGTGACAGGTGCGAAAGCGGGACGCCGGCGACGAAGACCGGTCACAAACCAGAGCGCGTGTGGGCGCGCGAGGGAGGCGGCCGCCTGGCTTCCTCTTCTGGCAGCACTCGCGACG